GAAAGGTTCTGGCAAGCAGAGGCATTGTTAGATCAGAACACAAGAGATGAAGAGTGGGATCATCGTTAGCGGAAGAGGGAAAATAAAATAGGAGAAGTCCAACTTTGAAACGTTCAGCTTCATTCCTCTTCAGTTCTCAAACAGTGAGAATCGCCTCAGGTCATCTCTGCACAGTTTTTTTCCCCCCACGTTTTGAGCTCTGTTCCACAGGGGCGCTCTCTGCAGCTGCTCAGATGGTGCTGCTTTGTAAACCCCTCTGCAGCTCTGTGTATCCCCTGCATCCTACAGACAGGCTGCTGTGACGCTGTGGGGAAATCTGCTCAGGGCTTTCCTTTCCCCAGACATGAAACGCAGACTTGCCAGGCCTGGATCCCTGCTGCTGTGTAGCACAACAGTAGGACTGAAATATAATATTAAAGAAATTGTAGCTATCCCACATAAAGCGAGAACATAGAATCCATCTATCATTAAGGGAATGAATGGGAAAGGCATTTCAAAGAGGAACTCACCATGATTTCTGTTTAAATTAAGAACTCTCAGCGTCCCCATCTCCACAGATAACAGAGGAGCATAGATCATGACATAGTGGCAGGTGGCAAAAATCAGATTAAGCAGATCCATGCAAGTGGATCCTCTCTAGCTGGCTTGGAGACTGCCCACAAAAGTCCACAAAGCTGTGGTTTCGTGAGGGAACCAATGAGACTGGTGAATACCCCTGAGCATTATGACCACAGATGAATGGGGGCAGCTCTAGCAAAGCAGTGTGACTTTGCAGGGCCTCCAGCTCAAAGGCAACGGCTGCCCATGCACTGGCACTGGCTGCTCAAAGCAGCCATTTTTTGCCAAACGTTGGCAGTAGTTTTTCTGTTTAGAGTTGTGAGCTCACATAATGATCCCTTTAATAAAAGAACACATTTTGTTTTAGCTCCCACAAACCCTTTGATTGACTGTCGTCAGCTCTGTAAGCTCTGGAATTAGCCAGCACAATTGAGCGTCCTCTCGAATAATGATAATTCATCTGTGTTCACTTTGCTAAACTATCATATTTTATGGAAGAAGTTAATTAAATGGCGATTTGCACTTCCGCTGAACATTAAGCATTTAATGCAGATGCTCCAGTCGTTGCCTGAGCTCTAAAGTGGGAAATGGCTTCCAAACTCCGTATTTCCTTAAGAGGTTTAATGATGCTAGATCAGGCCATTTGCATACATACATACACTGGCATATTTTATACTAGCATTTACTGCAAACAAACTCAGCTTTCTTCTTACCTCATTCTCAAGCATATAAGGTGGGGCATGCAGATTGCAACTGAAGTGTTCTCTCTGGATGATTTGCCCCAGCCGCCATTAAATTAATGGGCTCATTAATGAGAGATTTTCTAGGAAGGCATTAGAAAGGAACCGTTATCTACAGCAGGTCGCCTCTCCTATAATTTAGAAGAAACTAATTGGTAATAAATTAAGAATTCTAATAATTAATTCCTGTACAGCAGGAGTGGGGTTTATGCACGTTGCCTTCAGCTGAAGTGTCACAGTAAATCCTCTGCAAAGTAAATAATTGTTGGGATGAGGGAGGAAGAAGAAATTAATATTAATGTGCGTTGGAGGGGGATGCCACAGAGGTGAAATGTAAGGCAGCCTTTGGATGGTGTGCGATGGATGTTCCTCCTCTCTGAAATATGAGTCTTTGTAGGAGGTGGTAACATAAAGCACGCGATGCCGCTGGGTGTCTCCCATCTTTCATGCTCTGCGTGGCCCTGATAAATCACATTGCTCTCATCCAAATGGCCCTGGCTGTGTAACAGGGCACACTGAGGGGCAGGCTCTCATTTCCTAAGCATGTGGATGGCAGTGAGACCTTAACTGCGCCTGCCTGTGTGCGAGGGCAATGCTTGTTTCTGTGCAGAAGCAGTGTAGAAGCTGGCTCTCAGTTTTAAATAATTTAGCACTTTTTTTCCCCATTACTCCTACAAAAACATTGGCTTTCCTTCAATTTTGCAATGCAGTGAGTAAAAGTGGAATAGCTTTGTTTGTTTGTTTTTAATGAACTGTCATCCTCCGCGTAAGGGAGAGACGGGGATAGAGCAGAGCTTTCAATACATCTTCAAAAGCACAGAAATTTTGTTCTCTCCACTCACAGAAATCACTTACGAAAAGAAAAAGCCACACTTTTTCTTCAAGTTTTTCTATTAACTCGACTGCATCTTCTAAATACCAAATTGCTTTGGTCTTTCCCTCCTCCTACATTTGCACAGCGTCAGTCTGAAATATAAGGAGCTCCGATCTCTCCTTCTACCCCAGGATTTTCAGATCTAAATTTCTTTTAGCTATCACCCAATCATCTCTTTCTTAAAAAAATAAAAAATAAAAAATAAATACAGGCTTAAAGTAGTTATTGGTGCATATAACAAATGCACTTAGGGTAGCAGATATGCTTTAATGGGCATTAATTTTAGATTTGCTGGCCCTTTTCCAGCTAAGCCTCTCTCTAGAATTTTTTAGAATATGAAAAATCATTCACAGATACGCCATGCATTACGTTAGTAAATGAATATAGGTTTGAATTCAATTTGTTTTAGCAAACTGCTGTTATAAAGAGCCTAGTGTAGCGTGAATTATTATCCAGATTTATGCTTAGCATCTGACAAAACGTTAAGCTACTTTTTCAATTATCCATTAATTCTAAATAAAGGCAGAATTGTGCCATTCCTGCATGGTAGATTCCAATACCAGCTTCATACTCCATCACTTTGTTAGCTTGATGCTGTTCCTATCATTGATAACTTCCATTTCCAAATGCTTCAGCACAGGCAGGATTTATTCTGTGCAGCCTGGAGACAAGAAGGCCCATGGAGTGCTGAGAGCAGTTGGTCAGGGGACCAGATGATTTTTAAAGGTCCCCTCCATTGCAAACCATTCTATGATTCTATTCAGATCTTGCTAATTTGGACAACAGGATGTGATTTCTCAGTATTAAACTGACTCAAAACCATGTTCTTCACCATTCCTGCCATGTTCTACACCCACTTCAGGGCAAAGATCCTGATCCTGGCTGATTCTGAGCAGGTAACAAAATGAAAATGTTGAAGGAGGATGCTCTGGGCTCAGAGTAAAACCCAGGATGGGATCAGCCCAAACCCAGAGGGTTTAAATGAGCTTTGCTTGTAATCTAGATTTTTTATCCCAACATATGTTGTGTCTGCAGAAGAAACTTCTGCCTGAATGTGAACTTTAGGCTCTGCAAAGTTGCAATGAGGTGTGTCAGATGCAGGGCTAGGAGTGGGAACAGAGCTGCTCCCCATCGCTGGCTTTGGGAGGGTTGGCAAGGCTCTGACACAGCAGTGCAATGCACTGCCCTCATTTTGGGGCTGTGTGTTTGATCAGACATTGCCAGGCTGAGCTCCAGCCTCACCCTGGAAAGAAGCCACCAGCACATCACAGCCACACGGCAAGATTTACAAGGAGCAGATGAAGTCAAGTCCTACACTAGTTCATTATAATTAACAAAGCTGGAATTGCACCGGGCTTTAAGCTGTACATCAGTGCTAAATATCTCATTACCAACATAAAATATTTATGTCTCATGGTCTTTATCACAAATGCAGGCTCACCTTTAGTGCGAATGAATTCCAAGGGGAAAATGAACTGCTTGGCTTCAAAGGCTGGCAGCCCCACAGGACAAAACTCCTTACTGCACGTGATGGAGCGAGAAAAGACAGTAATAAATGCACAGCAAGGGGCTGCAGATTTATGGTTTTTGCAGAACACTCTCTGCTTTTTCCCTTTGCTGTTGCCTTAAAGCCAGAGCTATCTCTGGGCTGCCACAGTTGACAGCCACTTTTGGGTACGGATTCATGGCCTTGCAGGGATCTGTGTGCTGGGTGGGATGGCAACACGCTGGCAACAACCAAACTGCCATTCAGAAATGAGCTGCTAAGCTCAGCAACATTTACTTTCCCAACTCTGTAACAGCCATTGCCAACTTGCTCCAAAGAATGGGGCCATTCTTCACATTCCAATTAGCTGGCCAACAGGTTTTGACAGAGGGAAGCTGGGAGCATGGAGGCATGTTTTGTACATTTGTGACATTTAGATGAGAGATTAGCACCTTTTAATAAATAGGTATTAACTAAAATCTGTCTGAATTATGTTCCTAATTACTATTTCATTTGTGCTGGTGTTGTATTTATTACAGTAAGCATCTTGTGTATTTATTGCATTATGTCTTGGCGTGAGACTGTAGATGCTGAATGTATGTGCGAAACACAAAGCCTAATAAGCATTACAGTGCAAAACGTTTGATAGGACTCGAGCCATTTTATCCAAGCCTTGGAACCCTTCTCTCAAATTAAATGCAAGAAATATTCTATGTGCCTTCCTCCATTCCCATCTTTTCACATATTGCTCAGTCTTCTTTATTGCTTCTTTTTTTTTTTTTTTTGCTTTTTGACCAAAATGCCAGTCCTAACTTTTTTCCCCAGTGGCCTCTCTCTGTTGGGGTTATGGTTGGTAGCAGGATTGCCCCATGCTTCTGCTGCAAGCCCCACTTTGTGATGGTTCACAGCAGTTACTGCTACGTTGTGAAGCTGACAATCCCTACTATCTTCTCCAAACTGTCTCTGGGTTTGGTTGCTGCTCCAAGGGACCTAAGACACAGCTGTGGATAGAGGCCCACATCTGAGGAGCCCATTCCAGATTTCATGCCACAGCTCTCTGAGCCTTTATGCAAACTAAACAGAGCCAGGACGGCTATAAATTGTGGTTAGATGATTGTGCATTTAATGCTTCTCATAAACGCATAAAGTTTGTCTTCAGAAAGCTGTAATGAAGAAAAGCAGATTGAAGCCAGGAAGTGTCTCGTTAGCATGTGATGGAAATGTTAATCAGGGCTCCTTGAGGAGGATGTGATTAATTCATTCCCCACTCACTGCTGTGGGAGGGTCTGAGGACAAATCTGGAAGCAAAGGGTAAATTGGTTGGAAGGGGCAGAGGGAAGGGGCTGCTCTGTGGTGAGTTGGGCTCCATAGAGTTGCACTGGGTGCCTCTCCCTTGTGTTGTTGTGCTGCTGTGGGACTGGAGCAAAGACTGACCTGACAGCTGGCCTCACAGAAATGGGTAAGAAATGGTGCTCTCAGCTTCCTCATCTGAAAGTTGGAGGTGGGCACGTGTTTGATGAACAGAACTGTGCAATGAGGGAAGTGTCTGAGAGCTATGAAGTTAGCTGCTGCTGAGCGCCTGCTCCTTCCTCTCTCGTTGTCTCCCAGTCCCTCTGTGCTGCTCTGGTGGCCCTGCTCTGTTTGGAACTTGTTGCTGTTTTCCGAAGGGCTTTCAGGTGTCTGAACAGAACTGAAAGATTGAGTTCACTTCCCTTGGACTTTCATTAGTTATTATGTCTGGTTTGGATTCAAATTTCATCCTCGTTATTGCGCTTTTCACGCTCTGCCTGAAGCCTCAGTGTTGTAAAGGAGCAAAAATCCCCAGTCCCTGGGGGCCTCTATTGAATATGACTCTGGTAACATCTGGGACTCTTCCACCCCAATAGATTCGCAAGTACACAGAGGCTTTATTTTACTGACTAATGCAGCAGAAAAGAATAAAACTTCTGAAACAGTGAGACTGTAAACCAAACCCATTAAACCTGATTATTGCCAATTTGTACCCAGTACCTGTGGCTTGTAGGAAGTTCTTGCCTGTGGTTAACTGGCAGTCGTTGTTGTTTATGTGTTTATTAGTTTGTACCCAACATATGCTTAATGGCTCTTCTGCTCCATTTTTTTTTTTTATTTTTTGCTGTGGTTTTAATCTGTTTTTTGCAATGCATGGTGGTCGCAGCAGTCACAGTCTGTCTCTTCCCTGCAAGGTTTGCTGACCTTTTTGTGAGAGACCCTCTTGTGATGGGCTTTGAACTCTTGTCCTTCTCTCTAATGCTGCTTTTGTCTCATGATGCAAGGAACAACGTGGCAATGAGTTCGGTGGCTGTGTCAAATTCTGGCTGAGGGCTGGAGGGGTAAAGGCCATACCTTTTTTTGAGATAGCTGCTACATCCCAGCACCATCTGGGCAATTGGAAAATATTCCAGCTATTCCAGAGTCAGCAGAGTTGTTGCTTTTGTCAACAGAAAGGATCTTCTAACGTAACCTGGATCTTCTAACACTTCAAGTGGGTTGTTGGATGGTTCCAGAAGCAGGACCCCATATAGGAAGATTTATCTTTCACTTGTGTGTGCTGGAACTCCTTTGTCTGGGGCCTTGGTGTTTGCAGAGATCTCCTCCTTTAGAGCATTATTTCTGTGCTTATGCTCAGTTGTATCTGGAATCCAGTTTTTAAGGCTCTGTGAAAGATGATCTTTTCATGGCATACCTTACAAGAGTAAGGACATTACTATTCCAACAGATGCTGCCTCTGTAGCCAGAGGGAAATGATGTGGCTCTCCAGGGAGAATGGTTGTCCTGCAGCAAGGAAGGAGCCCAGGGCTCTCTGTGCAGAAGGAGCAGTGACCTGGGGACATGTGGATCTGTGCTGGGCTAGCAGGGGAGTGCCTGCTGTGTGTGTTATCTCTGCAAAGGGCAAGCTGGGACTGGAAATCCAAACTGCTCCTTCTGTGTGCCTTCTGGTCACCTTTCCTGGCACCTGGGAGAAAAGGTGCCAAAAACCCAAGGGTGTTTTGTTTTGTTTTGGTTTTTTTTGTGGCAATACAGTCCCAAAGGTGCTGAGCCCTATGCTGTCAGCTTGGCAGCTTTCAGCAGGGCACTAACTTCAAACACTTGGGTCCATAAACGCATGCTGGTCCTTGCCCTTCATATCATATTCCAGGAACATTCATATATGCTCATTAGAGACCTCTCCTGTCCTGCCAGGCTGCTCATCAGCTGCTCTTGAGCACCAGCCCCTTACAAACACACAACGATGCTGGCTGTGGCTCTGACTCTCAGGTCTACCCACTTCCTCACTGCTCTTAAAAAAATCCCATAACCCAGCTCTGCTCTGAGCAACTTGAGGAAGAACTGTCCTTCCTACCTGCCCCACTCGAGTCCCACACCTCACCTGCTGCAGCTTCACCCTTCACCCTTCAGCTGCAGCAGCTGCTCCCTTCTTAGCCAGGAAACCAACGTTTCTGCTCACGTTTTCAACTCGACTCTGTAAGGAATGCAAACTATTACTTCAGTGCCTGCATTTCTCTTACGGGGCTGAAGGAATGTTACCTTTGCTTAGTTGGTAGGATAGATATATTCCATAAGTCTTTGGGGAATTAATATTCATGCTATTAACTTTAACATATTGCTCTCAGTTCCACATCTTTTTGGTTTAACAAGCAGTTGCAGGCTCAAAATGATGAGCTTGGTTGAAAACGGTGCACCTCTCTGTGGAGTCTGGGGACTGAGTTTTACCAATTAAAGTCAAAATATGTTTGAACTGCACTGTGGAAAATCAACGTTCAAATTAGTAGCGTGTGGGATTAAAGTTACTGCTGTAAGAGGACCTTGCTGGAGGTCAGTGCAGTCCTCACCTGGAGGAGGCCGCCTGAGGTCAAGGTCCCTATGGGGCAGCTGGTTCAGCTCCTTTTGTGTAAGCTTGTCCTTAGGGATGCTCATGGCTGTAAGTTGGAGCACCCCTGGGCAGTGCTGCTGTCAGCAAGCACCACAGCTCCAAAAACCTCAGTGCAAGGAGGTGCAGGCAGACAAGAAAGGCAAAACTCAAACATCTCTTGGCAGTATCTGCAGTCACTTCTGGTTCTGGAGCTCACTTCAGGTTTTTACTCTTATTGTTCTTTTCTGGCAAGAAGGTCATGATAGAAAGGTCCTGCAGATATGATACAGGTCTCATGGCTTTGGGAGGGCCTAAGGTACAGCTCCTCACTTTGCTGTAGGGCAGTCACTGAAGTTTCCTGGTAAAAACACTTCTGGAACTTCTTTCCAGTCTTCCAATTTAATAGGTGGCTTCACGCCTCCTCTCGGCTGCTGCAGCACGAGGTGTGACGTGCTGGGGAGAACACAGGGAGGAGAAAACCTCTCTGAGTCTGTTCTGGGAGAGACCCAGGGGCTCCTTCTCTGCCAAATGGATCCTACTGAGCAGTTCTTCCCTTCTCTGAAATTATGTGGCCTCGTTCTTCACCCCCTGAAAGGAGCTGTGTTTGCATGGGTATGGCACAAAGTTACGCTCTGAATGGGAAGCTGGTGACATCAAACTCAAACGCTGATGGGTGCAATAATCATTAACAGATCGTTTAGAAGAAGTGTAAAGCTTCTTAATGAGTGCTTTATCGGGAACCTCCTTCTGGAACATGTTCACTGGGGTTTTCTACCTTAATCCCACGTAGCTTTCAGCCACGTTTTAAAAGTGCTTGGAGTGATTTAAACGATATGAGCACCTAAGAATTAGAGATACATATAATAATATAAAACCGACATAAAGAATGGTCCAGCCTTCAGACAAAGCGCCCTGCTAGCCTTGGTAGTGAAAATGAGTTTGCTTTGCCCCGGGGTTATTTTGTGCTACTGAGTTTGTGGCTCCAGTCCAGGGTAATTTCTAATAATGCTTTTCTATCTGTGAGCATGAAGTTGTCATTCTTTCAGCATCCGTGTGTCATGAGCTCTTCTGTCCCACTCTTGCTCACCTCGAATGAGTCACTTCTGTAGCCGATGCACTCAGCTTCTTCCATCTTGCCAGCCATACGTAGGCAATTGCATAAAGAAAGAAATAACAAGCTCTCACACCATTAAATTCAAGGAGCTGATGCATTACGAACGTGGAAAACAGAAGCAATAGAGTGCCTTGCTAATTTTTACATTAATTTACTCCAGAGGGAATAAGAAGTCTCCTAAATCAGATGCTAATTTTGTTTATTTAACTTCCTAGTCAGCACAGTGACCTTTCATCCACGAGTAAGAACAAATTAGCGCAGAAGTTCTTTGTGGGAGGCTGGAGAACTTGTCTCAACCTGATACTGAATAATACCCAATTAAAGCTACTTCCTAACAACTCTGCCTTCCCTCCTAGAAAGAAGTTTCGGATAAAAGAACAAAACGAGATGCCTTTTATTTGCCACTCTACAAAATCTCTTCACGTAACGCAAACAACCCTAACCCTGGTGTGTCTGATACAGGATTTGCAACGCTCTTGGTTATTGGTAAGAGGATAAGGAGCTTATAAATGTTTATCAGGAGGAGGATAAAAGATCCCCTGCCCCCAGTGCTAGGAGAAGAATGGATTTCCATGTCGATCAACAATCAAGGTGGGAGGGAAGCGTTTGGTAACAAAGCTGTAAACACAAGAGGAGTTTGTGGAAGGATAGGAGCTCTTCCTATTTGGTAATAGGATAAGAGATGTTAGGCAGGCCCTTTTGTGAGATAAGAAGCTTACTCTAAAATCAAAATAGTTTTTTTTGGTATCAAGAGGACCCAGAGACCTTCTGATGATGGACAGCAACCCCTGGGGGGTTTGCAGAAAGAGCAGAGGTGCTCTTGAGATGCAGCACAAGTCCATTGAGCGTGGATGTGAGAGCACCTGGAGACCTCAGAGAACTGTGGCTGAAGTAAAGCACAGGAGATGGCAGCTCCTTTGGGGTCAGTGGATGTGATGGAGCGCTGGCTGGGGGCAGCACCTGTGATTTGCAGGCATGCAGGGTTTGGGAGAGGTTTGGCATGGAGACACCTCCAGCACTGTCTCCCACCACATGAGATCTCTTTTTAAAAGCCAAGACATCTCAAAGATGCCTTGTAAAGTGCACCAGGCACTGGGTTGGCTGCAGGGCTGGGTGGGCAGCTAACAGCAGAAGTAGCTGGCATTAAATCTGTAGCACGAGTTTTGTCACAATAGGTTTGGTTCTTCTGCTGGCAGTGTAGTTTAGGTACAAATGGCCTTCTGCTGCAGCTGGACTGGTGGAAAGGTGATCTGTAAGATCTGTGCTGTGTTGGAATGCAATGCTTGAACACATCTGGTGCTGTCCTATGCAGCCTGTTTTCCCACTGAATTTGAACGAGCCATGGGGACTGGGTGAAATTCATAAGTGTGTGCCAGAGAAGTGTGAACCAAATATGTGATCCTGTGCTAAGCATGCTGTACTGTAGAGGTCATACTGCACAGCTCCTTTTAGTCCCAATGAAGTCCCACAGTCG